GAAGAATTTCAGAGTCGAGTTTACCCCTGAGTCGCTGCAGAACCCTTGCTCAACCCGAGATATCATATCCAAGCCCGTATATTATCTCAATGAAAATTCCATGTCCACCGCACAGTTTTCTCCCTAAATCTTTAGCGTGTCATTTCATACGACAACTTTTTGCATCGGGAATAATATGCTCGTGTATTATCCCTAGGGATAATTCCATTAAAATCGAATTAATTTATAGTTCGCTACCGTGTTACGTGTCATATCCAATGTTTCGTTACTTTGAATTATTATAAATGCAAAAATACAGGATGTTCCGTAATTCGTGGTCAACCGATCGGGAGATTAGACTCTACGTGGAAAAACGTGTCGAGAAGATCCTCCGTTTTCGAGAAAATTAATGTTTGAAAATATTTATCGAGCACACTTGAATTTACCTAAATAACTCTGAACGGGACAGAAAGGAATAACTGAATAGAAGGTACGTTATTTCGCGTACGATAATGTGGAATAAAATTTCTCTGTAAGAGTCTCGAAAATTTATCAAGTACACGTCTTGAAAACAATGCTTTAAGCGAAAAGTTTACTTATTTTTGCGCGTAGAAAATCCTTGTGTTGATTATTCGCGCCTGTGCAGTTTTAACCCAAATATTCGAGTGTAGTTGATACATTTTTCAACTCAATTTTGTTAAAAATTGGCTTTGATGAAAAAATTGTTCCTTCTTTCCGACATATTTTTATATGTAGAATCATCTGTCAGTCAGTTGACCACCCTGTATATCTCTATATTTGTTCCAAATTTGATTTCAATCAGAAAATATTTGCATTTTATAGCTGAACGAGTCGTTCCATGTAAAATAAAAACTACTTTATAAGTTCGTAAGGTGCAAAGAAACGTGAGGACTCGATGCGAATGCGAAAAGCATTTGCTGTTTCAACAAATTCAACGTGGTTAAATTGTTCCTTTCCTATAGTTATCGGTAAACTGTGAATATTAACGCAAACTTGTACGAATATAATTAGAGTAGAACGTAGATAGGAAATTGTTGTACGAATTTTCGCGTTCTGCGCAAATGTACAAGAATCAGCAGTCCGGTTGTTAACGCGCTTCGCGCTTCCAACTTCAACGCGATTCCAAGATGAAGTTTGTTGTAACTCGGCTTAGCTTTGCATCAACGCAATTAAGGGCGATGAGCAAATCTTTTTGTTACCGAATAATTCCCCGCACTTTGAATTTTCAAGCTTCTCCCTCGCAGAAGGAAGTTACTCGCGGGCGACTGCTCGCCTCGAAAACGAAGCCATTTCCCAAGCAAAATTGATTCCGTTTCCCATTTGGAACGACAGAGAAGATATGTGATCAGGTGATATCATGTTCAGAATTTCTCTAGAAAAACAGCATCAAATTCCCGATGGATACACGATGAACGAAGCGTCGTTGAAAGGTTACGTAAGAGACGATTCTCGCTGATACAAGAATATTTCTACTTCGATTCCCCGGATCCTTAAAATAGAAGAAGTTCGTAGCTCCTAGAAATCGAGGCTCCTGACCTCCCTCAGGTTCGATCTTCGACCTCGCGAGAGAAGCGGAAATTCGCGCGAGGTTGTTTGCCCCGCGAGATTCTTCGGACAGAAAGAAATGGCGAACTGTCTTCCGCATGGATGATAATCGCGGCGAACGAGAAAATACCGACGATACAATCTGCCAAAGCTGCTTCCACCGTGACCTCCAAGTTTCAGCCTGATTGCTGATGGCCTAGTCTAAAGAGAAAACCAGCCAATTTTCGCGCCTTTCCTGACAATGGAGCAAACGATTCGTCGGGCTGACCATCTGCCAGGAAATTGTTGCTCGAGCAGACATATAATCCGCGAAGATCTCTCTCTCTCTCTCTTCACGAGAATCGTAATTTTTTGTATTCTGCTTACTCGGTTTCGCAATAATCTTTGCTACGTTGTCCTCCCTTCTGATAATTTGTTTGTTTACAGTGAAATTGGAATAAAGCGTAACAGAAAAGACTGAAATAAAATGAAATTACGTTTGTAGCAAGTGACTTGGTTAATATTTGGGAGGGACGTGTCTCATTTAACATTTTTTTCCAGTTTCGTGACGAATATGTAACAACAGTGTCGCAATTTTCGCGAGAGAGATTACGAGTTGATCCGATTTCACTTTGAATCAGACAGTTCTGAGAAATCCTGCAAGTTTTCATAATCTGACGGAATACGCTTCTCCGAGGTGGCTGATCCTCTCAACGTCTTCCCACAATTTTTTTCACTCCCTAAATATGTCGCGTATCCTATCTCACGTTGTGTCACTGGCGACAAATTTGGCCGAGAACTCTTTACGCTCGAGAACTCCTCAAAGAAACTTCTCGCGGCCGTACAGGGGGAGGGAATCGAAGAAACAGCGACGTATCGATACTCGGATGGGAGGATCGTTTCTCCGAATCTTTCTCAGCTTGCTTATCGTTCGCGAATAAAAGGAAACGTCGCCGCGGATCTCTGACAGCGAGGCAGAAAATAGAACGAACGAACGAATAAGAGGATTCGAAAGACAGACGTCGGAAATAGAGTTTCGGACGCGTAGGTCGGACATACGTACGTACGTATGTATGTATAATAATCGAAATACACGATACAGAGTAGAGGCTATTTCGTGTGCATCGGCGACTCAGTTCGCAATGAGCAACGACGAACGAGCAAAATTATCGCCGATCGTAAATCATTCGGTAATTAAACTCTGCTCTTTGAAATAGGTCGGCTGCTTCACTCGGCCTGTTACTTTACGATCTTAGCCTTACCATTCTCTCTATTGTGCAGGTTGGTCATAGTCGAGACGATCGAAAGCTATCGCGATCGAAAAAAGTATCTAAATTATATCAGATCTGAATCTTGTCAAAGAATCACTGCCTATGTTTTTGCGAAAAATCCAGTAAAAGCTCGTCGTTTGATTTGTTAATCTTATGCAGCGATAATGTCTTATATGTCGTTTCATTTTTCTCGAACATACAATATCGGATTACAACTATAAGTAAAATACTTTGTTCTTCGTACTTTTCTGAATTCTAAGATTGAATTGAAGAAATTAAAGTCACATGCATATGCGACGATTCAATAAGAATTTTCACTTTTGAAAGATATTAGAAGAATAATGCAACGAGAAATCTGACATCTTTATATGATAAATTATTACATAATATATAGTCAGCGATTGCGAGAAGATTCCACTTTGATTAAACACATCTTATCGCCAATAATCGCAATTACAACGTCGAGTCATATGAGAATTCCTGCAAAATACACAGCGACAGTTTATGCAAAAACAATTCGACTCCTCCCGTTAATTACGTGCCCAGATATCAGACATATATAGTTGGTGTAACGCCTCCGGTTGCACGCACAATATCCTGAAATACAGTTCCTTCCTGTATCGCAGAATCCGAGGCACATATAAGGAAATAGGGGTTGCCGTGAAATAGGAAATGGCAGACCATGCCGGCAAATAGAGGTTACTCGATCACGGTGGATTCCGAAACGAGGTCGGAGCTTAACACTCTGTGCCGGAAACCTTCGCGGGCGAAGTCCTTTTTGGAAAGTACCGACGCCCAACTGAACTGTTAAACAGAAAGCAGAACGAACCGCATCCTAAACCGAATTCTCCAACGAAATGGCATCGTCCCTCGTAAATATCGACCTCCGAAGAAGTTTCGCGAAGGAATCTTGGAAACTGAAATGTCATGGAAAAATTCGACAAACAGTAGAAACTACGCCCAACGGAACAGTATCGTTTTTCATAAATATCGATCTGCCGCGCGAGTGAAACTTGAAAACCTTGAAAAAGGAAAAACGTCACGGACAGATCTGATAAAACTAATTGCGATAGCAACCTAATTGAATTTTTTAGCAAGGTGGTGGTTTATCATCGCGTCATCTCGGTAATATTGTTTTCATTTTAAATCTTGTTAATTCGTTGTCGTAGAAAGGAAACGTAAATGTCACAGCAGAGATCCTGACAATGAATCGTATTAAGCCCCTCGTAGGAAGGAAACTTCGGAACTTTAATGTCACGGAAATATCTGATTAACGGTAGAAACAGGTTTCATCTCGTAACCTAGATGACCAGCAGCGTAAACTTCTCTAAAACCAGTTGGAGGCCATAATATTCCGCGGGGTTATCTTCGGTTCCATCGCAACCCTTCTTCAACCGTGCTCCGCATTGTAGGCGGAACTTCTAAACTTCGCCGGTTATATAAATTGAAGTTTCCCTTCGCAATGGCCTCCGAATATTCCCCTGTTTCGTAATTACGTTGAATTAGGCGCCCGCGTTGTAATAGTCGACTCGGTGATGCACGCGAGGCAACGAATGGAATGTGTCGACTAATTAAGAGCGAATCGTTCCGAAGTGCGCGAAATTGATCGCAGTTAATTTATAAGGAAATGAACAATTCCGCCTGCGTGATTTGCCGGTCTTGTGCAACTGGTGTGTATCACAATATCCAAAAAGTGTAATAAAACGACTGAGGTAACGAAAGACTTTGATTTTTCGTTTCTGTTCTTTTAGAACATGCGTGGCTAAAAATTTAAGAAAGTACAGTTTCGTGCCGTTGTTTCAAAATTTTTGTCCTCAAGTCGTACGCTTACTTCGACAAAACTTTTCTGTCATATTTCAAAAAAATTGTTCTTACATCCTCGACAAGTAACTTTGCGACGCTAATCGTAGAATCTCACACTTCGTACGAATTTTCGTTTTGCAATGAAAATATCTCGTCACATTTATAAAACATTTTCAGAACGGTTCCATCGTGATAAGATAATCACGGTGACAGTGGAGTGAAAGAGGGAAATGATCAATGACCTTGAAAACTCCGAGGAAAGAAATTCTTACCAGTTATTGGCCTTTCGATACCATTCGTGTCACTCGTAGAAAAATAATTTTCACAATACTCCAAAATATTTCCCTTCCCAAGCAGATACATCGACAGACCGAGTCGCAAAGGTGAATGAACAGGTCTTACCTGGACACGCTCCTGGCCAGGTGCAGTGCCGAAGAAGGAGCCAACGAGTCCCTACGATCGCAGCGACACCTGTGCTGGTGGGAAGATTGCCTGGTTCGGTAACCGGTAGGCATGATCGTTTGTTGCAATTGCGTCTGCGGTTGAGGCTGCGGCGGTTGCGGCTGCGGTTGGGCCTCGCCGTCGAGCCTGCAGTGCAGCTCGATGTCCGGTACCGATCTCGTGGCCGGATCCTCGGTGGTGCCGCTCTCCTCGGAGCCGCCGAGCCCCGAGACGGACAACTGTGGCGAGGCAACCAAAAAGGTTGCTCGATCCTGTCGCGTGAGCACCGGCTTGCCCTGAGACGCCGCGGCAACAACGACCGGCGGGGGTGGCGCCCTGCTGAGCAGGGCCGCCGTCTCCTCGCTCGAGCCGTAATCGGTACCGTTCCCACCCTCCTGAGAGCCGACATTGCCGTTCGTGTTCATCTTGCCGCCTGGTTCTTTCTCTGTCGCGTCACGTGGCCATTTCCTGCAACGCAAAGCGTCTCGCGTTAGAAACTAGCTTAGAAACTACTTGAATTAGATGGCTGGGATAATTGACGATTGACGCGACAGCTATTGATTGATTTACGCAATATGCGTTTGAATATTTTTGTACAAATACAGTTGGAAGCTGAAAAAAATGGCTAGAGGAATATACCCGATTTACTCCACTTGGTCTTACGTTATCTGCGCAAGTTTTCATAATTTTGTCGATGCCTGTCTTTTATATTATTCTCTAACCTTAGAACCTTAGAACCTTAGAACCTCAAAAGCTATATATATAATAAAATACAATAATATATATATATATATATATTTTATTAAATTTATTTTTATTATATAGTTATTTTATTATATATGTTAAATAAATTTATTTATTATATATATTAAATAAATTTATTTATTATATAATGGCACTAAGAAAAGACGAATAAATTGTACATTTTAGAAAAGATAGGAAGTTATTAAGAAACGATGGATTATTCTCTAACCTTAGAACCTTAGAACCTTAGAAGCTATATATATATATAAAATACAATAATATATATATTATTGTTAAATTTTTTATATATAATATATATATTTTATTAAATTTATTTTTATTATATAGTTATTTTATTATATATATTATATTAAATAAATTTATTTATTATATAATGGCAGTAAGAAAAGACGAATAAATTGTGCATTTTAGAAAAGATAGGAAGTTATTAAGAAACGATGGATTTTAGAATCTTTAACCCTGGATAATTGTTTTTCTTTTCAGATCGCCCAAGTTTTCTTTAACCAAACAACTTTCAAGCGGGGGGGCTGAAGTTGCAATAAAGGATAAGAAAGTTTCCTAGGTGCCACTATTGATTAATTAACAAGCCTTTCTCGCTCGAGGCAGTTCTCATTTTCAATCATACAATCACGCTGGATCAATTACTACAAAAGAAGAAAAGAAAGCAGGAAATTTTATGAGACAGAATGGAAAATTAAAAGGGAGTTCATGTGAAAAATAAAAAGGAAATATTCACATGTTATATACATTAAATGTACAAGGTGATTCTCGTAACTTTTGAATTATGCGTCTAATAAAAAAATTGATACAAAAGTGGTATAGTTCTAAGGAAGCCACCAAAATATGGTGTATCAATTTCTTGTGGGTTTCAAAATTTCCAAAGTTATCTTTATGTTCCATCACAGATCCAAAAAGTATTAAATTCCAAGTAAAAAAGTATTAAATCGCATTGGTCGTAAACCTAATGGTTTAGGACCGTGAGTGGTAAATGTTGTTTCGTCCGTAAACAATACATTTTCTGAAAAAAATTTTCATTAACACTTACTTGTTGCAAAAATCATTCGGCAAATTGTACTCGATTTTAAAAGTCGGACCCGCGAGGCTCTTGATGAAGATACTTGATTGATTGATTCCGCATTGTCGAGAAATCTCCATGTGTATTAATACGTGGATTGTATTCTACAGTTTCTAAGACAGCGGCAACAGCATTTTCTTCATCGGTACTACTTCTACGGCGACGTTAATGACACTAATGTTGTCAGTTTCTCGTAATACCTGCCTAAGCATTCGTCGCTATCCCCACCAATTCATGGAATTGGGATTATCTCTATGCTACCTTAACTGTGCGACCTATCGAAGGCCCACTTGTAAGATAACAACACTGACGTTTATAAACATTGTCGAATCTTCTGACGATGCTACGAAATTTTCATTCTCGGGACAAGTTATCGTAAAATATTTTCTTAGCAAATTAGATTTAAAACCAACGTGGCTTAATACCTTTTCATTTGGAATTTAATATTCTTTCGATTTACAGTGAGAGACAAAAGTATTCGTACACTTGGTATACCGAAATAAAGACAGCAATATTTTCTAATTTATTATGTATGATAAATTTATGTATGATACACAATCACATTTACTTTTGTCTCTCACTGTAAAATTGAAAAAAAATTATATAATGCGATTAAAAAAAAATAACAATAAAAAAATAAAATAAAAAATAAAAACAAATTTGAAAATTTCAAAACCTCCCAACACACAATAAAAAATTAATACTCCATACCTTGCCTGCCTTAAAACCAAAAGCATACATTTTTTATTGGACGCATAATTTAAAAGTTATTTCAATCGTGCAAGTTACATGAATCGACTAGTTGAATTATTCCTTTACTTTAATGAGACGAATAGAAAATTAAAAAAGAGTTCACATGTTACGTATAATACATTAAATATATATATATATATATAATCGACTAGTTAAATTATTCCCCCACTTTTGAAAGAGGGTCAAGTCCCTTCCGCGAGTCGTGTAAATCGACGTACGTCGAATTTCGAGAAATTCCGCGAAATCCAAGGATCAATGTTACTGAATTTCCAAGGCACGCGTGATCATCGATTTCTGACACGGATGAACGCGGCCACAGTGTGCAGAGCCGTGCTTTCAACCTATCCGAGTATCGACAACCGATCGACTGTGTCGTCGGCTTCAAACGAACGGTCCTTGACTTCTCCGAACCGCCACCGCCTCCTCGCGAGACGCGTCCGATCTCACCCGTTTACTCATTCGCACAGATTTACTGCCTGTCATGCCTTCGTCGTGCAGTTTCCTCACGTACCCGTTAAAATACACAAGCTTGACCAAAGCCCGGTGCAATTTTCCACGAGATTTCTCCTCGAATGCAACGTCCACGCTGCCAGTCATCGGTTCAACGAGCCACGTTCTACAAAATTCTATTATTAACTTATGGGATTTCAATCAATTACGAGCACGAAAAAATGTCGCACGAACTGCTTGAAATTTGTCATTAATAAATGTAGAATGAATTTTCAATTATAGCATGCGACGTTGATGTGACATTTTGCTTTATCGTGAAGTTACAGGCAAAAGTAGAATGCAATCTGCAAACAAAAGTACCGTGTGGATTCAGTCTCTGTTTGCATAAAAATAGAATACAGAGCGAAACTACTGGCGAAAGAAATAATACGATGAGTTCACTGTCAGTCGGGAATTAATTTCATATTCAGTGAAAGTTTCGGTAAATTTGATATGTAATGAATTCTACACCACGTCAAACGTGTTGATAGAATTCGAGCATGCTGAGCGATCTTATTTCATACACAGCCCTGATTATTTGCATTATAGATAGAGCAAACATAATCGATGTTTGATAGAATATAGAATCTGTTGTAATGCCTGTATTTTAGAATTTGATAGAATACAGAATCCGTTGTATATATTTCAAGCTGCACTCAATATTTGCTTGCAAAATACAAGTGACATTTAATATTTTTTCTTTGTCGCTCGTCTTTTTGCCCCGATCTTTTCTTTTCCTTCAATTCTCTGTTTCATAATTTAAATTCTTAATCAAGAATTTCGTCGGTTTTACGGAACCGTAACCGATAATATCAGACGAAGTGAGAACTTGTAAGCTACAAAATTCTATCGCACCAGCAAACTTTACAACTAGCCCAGATTTAACTACAATTTCGCAACTTCGTTTGAAACAGAATAACCAGCCATTAGTAGAGTTAGTCACCATGGTATAATACAAGAAATTTCTAATTTAGTACCTCCTAATTTTTGTCTAGGTCTGTCATTCAGCGCGATGTAAGATTTAAGTAAGAAACTTCAAGTAAGAAACGTCTGTAAGACACTGTGGATCATTTTTAAAATAGATTCGCTATTCTTGGTCTCAAAAGGAAAAATATCGTGGACAGAGAAGAGGGAAGAGCTCGTATGAGAATGGAGTAAATGTATGATCACGTGCTCGACGTGATCATCAACGTGCACCACGTACCGCGAATCATGGAAATGAAATTCGCATTTCCCTTCAATTCGGGCAACGTAAATGAGGAATAATGGAAGAAGAGAACGGCTAGCCGGTCTTTTTCGTTTGCCAGCATGGAAAAAAAAAAAATCCGAGAGCAGCCAGCGGCTGCCGGGAGACCCGAGGCTAGCACAATTTGTACGGATGCCGATTGCTGACCGCACGCAAATTCAAACGTGATAAAATCGAGGAAAATGGGGCCTGAACGATATTCCATCTCTTTATTTCGCGTCTGTCGCTGAATACTAATGTGAACTACGTTTCCCATCCTTCTGGCGAATTCTTTTCTCTTTTCGACCAACGACGTGTGACGTTTTGCTGAAAACTCCGCAGTATGCGACCCAGAAGTAGCACTCTCGACATCAGAATTCTCTCATGGAACGACATCAGTGAAAATTAAAAAGCTACAAGTTGCTTACTTTATAATCTGACGTCAAGGATAAACCGAATTCAGGATTTCTGATCAAATTTATGAATAAAATTTCACTTCAATTTGATTCCCTTAGCGAATTTGTTACTATGTGGAAGAATTGGTTAGCTCTGGCAATTGTATACCGTAAAATATTTGCTAATAATATTAATTCCATCGTACAATAGAACCGGAATATGTCACGAATTTATTACCTACCCTTTGTTCCTGCGATATTATCTTCGCCGAAATAATTATTTGAAAATAATTGCTCTCGCCGAAACCTTCAGACAACGCGTTACATTAAATAACAAATCAATGTTACTGTCCTCGCGAAACACGCAAACGAATAAACATTTCTCTTTTCTTAGTTACCGCGCCACGTATCGATCCTCCCAAATTTATCCCGGAAATTTGAATGACAGAGGTCACTTTCTGGCATTATCCCGAGGACCGAAGTTTTCCATCGCGCTCGTTCGTTTTCTACATTTTATCGAGCGCAACGAAAATGGATCGCCCGTCAAACCTGCACGATAGCGTAGCGCCTCGCCCGTCGAAATCCTCGCCCCGAGCTCGAATACGTCGCCATGCTTGTCCGGAGCCGGAGCGTTTTATTTAGTAGCGATCTAGATCGCCCGTGCCCGCGTATATCATTCTTAGGCTAATAATTAAACAAGCTCGGTCGCACGGAAATGTCGAGAATCGTTTAAGGGGTTAGGACAGTGTGAAATTTTCAAAAAAAA